CCCAATCCTGCCGCCTGTGCCAGGAGCGTCCCAGCACAGGTATCCCCTGTCTCAGTCAGGATTCCCATCTTCCAAAGAATTTCTTTGGTTTTGTCCTTGACTGCTTTGCGGCCGTCTTTGCCACTTTCTTCCTCTCTTTGTGCTCCTTAATCTCATTGAAGAGCTTCTCACTGGTCTTGAGGAGGTCCCCCATGACGTACCATTGCAAATCTTCCTCGACAATGACTTCCCTCCTCTGAGGATCGAAGCCGCTGAAGTCCTCATTGGTCAGGGCATCCGCTAGGACGTTTCCATCCCTGCTCACCCATGTCAAAGTGGCAAAGGCATCAAGTCTCCTCAATGTCTCTGCCACCTCAATCACCAAAAGCGTGATGGGGTACTTCGTTGACAGCCCCTTCTTCAGGATGAAAGCATTCCCCCTGTTGTCGGTAAAAGCTTCCGCACATACTTCGGCCGCCTCTCCTGGCCTCTTCAGCCACAACCTCAAAGCGATGAGGGTTGCCATCAACTCCGGCGCTGCGATGACTCTCTTTGGATTTCTGCCTCTAAAGTAAAGCCAGGGCGCACTCACTTCCGTGATCTTCAAGGAAAACCACCGGCATTCAGCGCTGTTTGGGCTCTCCTCCAGCCATCCGCCAACCCAGGCATCGCTCTCCGTGGCTTTGGCGTCCGTCCAAATCCTCAAAGGTGCCCTCACGGTGCCCCGGGGCCTCCTCACTTGCTCCAGCCTGCCATCTGATCCCAGCCTCTGCGCAATCCAGTCAAGGATGAACTGGATCGCCCATGGAATAGTCATCGCACCCTTGTTCGACTGTATGGCAGCCGACCAGGCATAAAGGGGGCCCAGGAGAGGTTTCTCCCATGGCAACGCCAATGCAGTGAAGCCCAATCGCCCCAGGCCAGCAGCAAACTCTCTGTATGTGACCTCCTTCCTTGCCCTCAACGAACCAACCCATTCAACGATCCACGCCGATCTCCTCTGGGAAATACCCATTGCATAGAGCTTGTAATCGGTTGTCAAACCAATCCACTCAGTGATGAGACCTCCCCTCTGCTTTGACCACTTGAAGGGCGCTCCCAGGGCGGCCATGAGGGAAAAAGCCAGGACTCCGCCAATCCTCCCAACACGCCCCACTGTCAACACCTCCAAGTCGTCAGCGTACAGCAACATGTCGTTCGGAAAGCTCGGACCTAACACCCAGTAAACGGCCCTCATCAGCGCAGCACTGAGCCTTGCCCACCAATAGGGTGTTGAAGCTATCCCAAAGGTGCCCACTTGGTTCACGTAGACCACCTCCGATCTCGAAGCTGCCTTGCAAGCCAGAAAGCCCTGCTCCTCCCGCCTATACTTGAATCGGCGGTGGGCTTTGGCGAAGTCACCCACCAGTGACAGGACTGTCAAGTGTTCCTCCTCGTACTCCTCAAGGAGGGCACGCTTCTCCCTCGGACCCGGCATCCTCACTTTGTCTCGGCATCGTATTCGGTGATTCACCTTGACGCCGTGCGTGCCATCGTGGATGACCCGTCTCTTGCCAGTCAACTCGTCCTCCACCAACACTGCGAGTGCTGCCACTGCACGATTGTGCCCAAAAGTCCTAATGAACTCTTCCTCTGACATCTTCACCATCAGGCCTTCAGACACTTCCTGCTCGAGGTGTTCTACAAGATATCTTTCATGCTCCTCAGCAGAAACATAGTTGCTCTTCTGCCAGACTGCTCCACCCCAGTCTTCTCCTTCAAGATTCCACCTCAACTGCTCTTCAAAGATCTCGGGCGTGCGGGGTAGATCGCCTAGCACTCCCACGGGCAGCCCCGTCTTTGCTTCCTCAAGGAACTCCCAATCTGGATCCCCCGCTCTCTCCAGGACCCTTTTCAGAAGGTCTAGGAAAAAGGGCTGCCCCGCCTCCGGCTCCGATTGCACTGGGATGTCCAACTTCTCCCCCAGCACCTGTCTAATCTTCCTCAAGAAGGCCTCGTCACGTACCAAGCGAAAGCTCTCTCCTCCTCTCGCCATCCTGAAAGCCTCCTTCTCGACCTCAGCCACACTGCCCATCACCTTGACCGCCTCCAGCAGTAGATGGTGCCCAAGCAATGACCATCCTTCTCCCTCCGGCCTCTTCCTCTTTTCTGAGCGCCACCTCCCTGGTGAAGCCAGTCCTCCTCCATCGTGAAATGGGGCGTCCAACCCTTTCCACCTGCAACAGCGCGGAGGGCCTTCTCCCCCCGCCACCGGTGGGTCCATAGGGTCCACCTCAAGTCTCACCGCCTCCTCCGACCCTTTCTTCTGTGCTTTCTTCTGGGCACCAAGGTCGTCCTCCGCCTTTCTCTTCTTCGAAAGCTCACTCCCCCCAGACCACTCTTGCAAAAAGGAGGTGAGCAACGCCCATGCAGTCCACCGGCAAAGTGCCGGAGGCCAAGCTGCAGACTTGGCCGTCTTGAAAACCCCCTGATGCTTGCCGATCAGAGGGGTGCCCCCTGAAAGGCGAGGGAGTGGTCCCAAATACCAACCATTGCCATCAAACTGTGGTGGCCCTTCATGCATGGCTGGATGCAATGGTGCAAATAGCCGCATCAGAAACCTTGTGGGCTTGGGCGATGAAGTGCCAAAGTCCTGCTGTGCGAAGACCACTGTTTTGACTCCCTGCATTGCCAGGAGTTGTTCAAATTGAACGAATTGCCACATGGATGCGGGTTGATGTCCAGGTATTCTATCATTTGAGGTGCGCCCCAAGTCTTCTGGGTGTTCCATCAAGCCCACCCGTCGACTGCAAGCAAATTGGCGCTTCAAGGCCTCATAGGAAAAATCTGCCAAAATAGTTCCAAATTCTGCTTTGTGAAACCTATCCCCCTTGTTCCAAGGAAAACCTCTCGGGAACGTAGAGCTCCTCACCGGATACGGACCCAGATCATTCGCCCATACAGCTCGCGAGAAAGTCGAACAGGGAGGTGTGACAATGACTGCAAAGAATACACCTTGAGCGATCATCTGCAACCATTTCTTCTGTACAGCTGGTAAAGTGAAGTCTGACCGACGGTCGGTCTGGATGTCTAACTCCGTGATCTCCACTTGGACATCCATTCGTGGTGCGAGCCTCCTCAAGAAACCTGCCACAGAGTTGCGGCGCCTCCTCCCTGAGAAGACGTAGAGGACTCTGAGAGTCCTTCACCGGGCCCCATCCGTGTCCGGTGGTACCGCCTCCTTGCGGTTCTTCGGATTGCATTCGTAAAGCGGGTGCTTCTCGCTGAAGCATATCCCGCACACATGGCGATATTTGCACTTCGCCATCTTGCATTTTTCCCCCGGCGTGTTGTACCGGAAGCAGATCAATTCGCCATCTGGCGTGTGAGTGGCACAATGCTGACCCCCTTTACCTTTGCTCTTCTTGCCCTTGCCTTTGTCCTTGCCCTTGCCACCCTTTGCCTCCGTGGATCGCCACTTGGCATCTGGCTGCTCCCTCCATGGTGGCGTAGGCCGCTTTGCATACAGAGCAAGGGGGGTGGTAAAGTTCCGCTCTTTGATTGTGGAGTCCTTCCATGCCATCTTCAACGCAACTGTCAATGGTTTGCCCTCTGTGTTCGTGATCTTCACTGCCTGCTTTCTGATGGCCTTCTCGTAGGCGATGATCAGCTTCCAGGGTGGTGCAGCAAACGTCTGACCCTCTGCATCCTTTGCACAGAGCCCATACACATAATCCCCCAACAGGTAGTCCTTGTACTGCTCCACGGTCTCCTCCCATGTGCCTTGCAGCTCATGCCTGTTGGAGTGTTTCAGTGATATCATGACCATGGCGTTCTTCCAAACTGTCAATCTCTTTCGAAGTTCTTCGGCGTTCGCCGGTTCCTGTACTTTCGTCGAGCCTTTCTTCATGGCCAATCGGCCCTTGGAGTCCCAGATGGGCACCACAGTCTCCGGCTCGCTTTCTTCTTTTGGAACGATCTCCGTGAGCTCCTCGGCACGGTATTCACCGCTTTCAACCTCTGCCAACTTCTTCTCAACATATTCTTTCGCAGGGTATATCTTGTCCTCCAGGTAGCCGTAGCGCTTCTCCAATGCTGAGCGCATAGCTGCCCATTCCCCTGCCACCACCGGGCGTGACCACTGGAGTGAGTCGTACTCGGCATCGACTTCTGCCGCTCGCTGGCTCCTCGTCTTTGCATTGCTGAATGCACACACTATGGCGGCCACCTGAACTCTCTCATCCAGTGTCCTCTCAGAGTCCAACTCCCAATGCTCCTTCAACACTGCTGTAAGATCCTCACGATCCTTCGCAAAATTCGACAGCTTCTCCAGTGTTGTAACACCATGGTGGAAGAATAACTTCTGGTTGTCAATGCTCACCTCGTGCCTGGACAGCAGATACTTGAGGTCCGTGCCTGCCGCTTCCAAGGCTCTAGTGCCCTCAGCATCCGTGAGGACAGCACGAGGCATGCTCGCCCCACAGGCTTGAGCCCACCCTCTCTGGACACGCCGGCCAGATGTGCAGCATGCGATGCCGCCACGACACTGCTGTGCCTATCGTGCATGCTATGCACAAACCGCTCACATGCGATGTGATGCCCCCTCTCTGCGTGCTGTGAGGTGCGACCCCGCCTCTTCCGCAGACTCGGGCTCCCGCGCGCAAGCGGCGCTCCGCCCCAGTGCCTGAGCGGCTCGCTCAGCCCGGGGTCCCATCATCCTACTGCCCCTCCACAGGTGCTACCCATGGCTTGACATGGACTCACCGCTCAACCGCCCCTTGGTGCGACCAAGGGTTCAACCTCATGCTCTTCAGAGCCTCAATCCCTCCCCAGCAGCCGTTTTAGTCGCTGAGACTCAGTTCGTCGTGTGAGTCACTTGTGGACTCGCTCAACTGTCCGCCACCACCACCCCAACACAATTTGCATCGGAGGGTGTACACCTCGGGCTCTGGCATGTTCTCGTGGACCTCTGAGCTCACGAAATACCTTTTCTTTGCCATCCAGCAGCCCTTGCTTCCCAGCCGGTGGAGCGTCCCCTGGCCAGCACGCCTGTACACGACCACGTAGTTGCCCTCACTCTCTTCTTCAAGAGGGTCACCAATCTTCCTCTTCTTGGGGTCCTTCTGTGCCGGCTCATCTCCACCCTTGTCGCTCTGCGAGTCATCATAGATTGTCGTGTCGTCCCCCGACAGTGGAATGACTGCTTGAGGCCTGCCTTTCGCCCCGATCTGGTCCTTCCAGGCTTCGACTACACTCTCGGCCTGATCCTCAGGGACCGTCCACTTCTCCGTCAGCCACGCCTTGAGCTCCTCCAGGATCGAACCCTCATCCAAGTCCTCATAGGCGGTCTCGCCTCTCAAGACACTGACCAGTTTCCTCTGCATCTTCCTCACGATGGCGTTGTAGGTCCTGACGTAGACATCTGAGCCCTCAGGGCACCACCTCCCTAGGTAGTCGCGATCGCCCTTCTCCACGCCCAAGGCCGCCAAGCCGCTCGGCAGGGTTGCCCTTTCGCTATGTTCGGACCAGAACCTCTCCCATCCCGAAGGAATCAACCTACCTTTGTATCCCTCCAGAAGTGCCATCGTCCGAGCGCTCCCCGACACTGCCTCCGCATACGTGACATGCGAGACTCCATACTTCGTGCCATAGAAGCAGCCCTCTGGAAAAACATAGATTCGGTCCCTCGGCATCTTGAGCTTCACCAAATCAAAGCCAACTGCCAGCCAGTCATCCTGGATCACGTAGGCATCCCTCGTGATGAAAATCGGCAGCTCCCGAACTCGCTTGCCCGCCCCCGACGTCTTGGACTGGCGTATGATCCCCATGAGCTGTCCATCATAGAAGCGTACCTCCGACGTCTTCAGATGCGCTGCATCGTCAAACCTCATCGAGGTCCAGAGCTTTACAAGCTTGAACCAGGCACACACTCTGACCTCCAGCGGCATTGCACCATCCACCACCAAGGTCTCCATTGGTGCCACAAAGCATCCAAGCCAGCGAGGCGCTCGCCGGACTGGTGGAGCATTTTGCTCAAGCTTCTTCGTCAACTCCTTCATCACCATCTGGGGGAAAGCTTGCGCCATCAGTTGCTCATCATCAGGAATGCCTGCCGTTCGCTCAAACCAGGCCACTGCTGTGCTGACCGCGAGGGGTATGGATGCACCCATACCCTCCTCCTCTCGTGCATACATGTAATCCACCAGCATCACCGAATTTGGCCTTTGCCCCGGCTTGCCCATAGACTCGGCCCACACCCGGAAGCGTTGCCACGAAGCCAGGTATCGCCTGACCGTTGACAGCCGGTACTTCCCAAGCAAAGCGTCCTGTGCCCTTTTTGGATTCATGGCCTTCACGATGTCGCCGAGTACAGGTGCATCAAATATCTTGAGCTCATCAACCAACTTGCAGAGGACCTTGTCATTGACTTCACCCTCTGCAGCGATGCGGCCCCCCCTCAGGCGTACTGTCCTCCCCAGCGTGCCTCGCTTGGGCAGTATCAGAGGAACCGGAGCTTTCTCCTGTGGCTCAAGGGGTTTGCTTTCCTTCTCCATGGCTACCCTGGCGTCCGCAAGGTTCTGGATGGACCTCGACGAAGATGTTCCCACAACACGGTTGTCGAGATCTGCCATCTGGACCGCCTCGCGGACTTGTCCTTTCACAAAGGACACATGCCATGGCCTGGCCTCCAACCCGAGACGTTCGGCCAGCTGCCTTGCCAGTGACTCCTCTGAACCATGGCTGACAGCAAGGCGGGGGCCGATCAATCCTATTTCGGTGAGGAGGTTGAGCATTTTGGCTCCATCTTCAGGATCGGGGGAGCAAGCTCCCCCATCCATCCCCCTCACCAAAAACAACTTCACAAACCCCTCGAGCCTACAAGCACGGTAACAAAAATCTGTCATGACGAGTCATGAGTGATTTTCATTCCGAGGGTTTCCTTGCTGGCATGGGTTCTGACCTCGTTCACCCTCTCGTTCACCCTTGTTCCGATACCTCTTTGCAACTTGTGTGGTTTATACAAGTAAAGTGTCCAAGGAGCCTGGTCCAAAGAGATGTCAAAGGACCACACGCAGATTAAGAGCATAGCTAAATCATTGCGTTTCCATGCGGGAAGCTGGTTTTTACAAGGACTATGCCGGGACCCCCCTATGTTCCTACTATGCCGTGACTTCCGCGGCCGAGTGTACCCTTCTCACTTCCTGCCGCTCTCAAAAGTGATCCCTCGCAGACTGCCGTATGGCGCCTCCGTCATCAATGATCTCACCACACTCTCGTGCTTCGGCCAAGAGGTTGTCACAGCCCATACCGCCATTGGCTTGGTTCAGAATGAAGCCTTGGCAGCTGGTGGCGCAGTGGTGACATGGACTGACACTGATATGTCGGAAATCAAAATGTGGACCCCTCTCAGAAGGGAGCATGAAATGTTAACTAGGTTTAGAGGCGTGTCGAGAGAAATTTGTGTATGTTTATATATATATATATATACAAATATATATATATATATACAATTGACCACAACAAAGTGTGTGATCTGTTCAATAGGATTGCACTCAAAGTACAATAGCAGGCAATATGCTTATGCAGTCTGATACTCTTGCTGCTCCTGTGCATTTGTGGAGGATCCATCTGTTGAAGGAGTGTGAACTTTCTCGCAAATCTAGCTGAGATGGCCCACCGATTTGGTATGTATATATCATATATCTGTCTGCGAAGATGAAGATTCATGATGAGGGGTGCAGTCAGGTCTCTTGTGTGCTTGCCAGGTAGGATTCAAGGTTGAGATTGCAAAGATTCACAAATTGTGATCCAGTCTCCACACAACGCGCCTCAACAGTCCTTCCCCATTGGGGGGTACTGGAGGTTAGACTAGACAGAAGACTTTGTACCAAAAACAGCGTGCACCACCGTCACAACATATCTAACCGGAATATCCACATTCCTAATTCACTGATCAAGACTGATGGAATCCAAGTCTTTATGGGTTCGAATGCATGTTTTAACCCTCTGATAAAGGTTGTGGCGCTGACCAAATGGAAGTTCGGCAGGAAGAGGATCACTCAAGATAGGACAAGAGAGATCCGGGTCTAGCGGAAGGCGAACATTAAGAGGATAAGGCTGTCCTGGTAAAGACGCATAATTCTTTAGCAACCGCATTGCGTGATCTGTTTGCGGTAAGGCCGGGCGAGACGCAATGCCCCCCACCAAACTCCGATGAAACCCCAAACGCACCATGGTTGAAGCCCCTGTTTTGGGATATCGAGGGTAGAACTTTTCTTTTGTGCTTTCCAAGTATTGAACGACGTTACGAAAGTTTGTGGCCTGATGACTTCTGGTTTTTGCAGAGCGACTTCAGGTGAATTAAAGTCAAATGGGTGAGCCGGTTGATTATCTTGGACTTTAATCCAAATGGGCATACCACGACCTGCAAAAAGTGTAAAATGAAGAACGAGTTCATATCCAGTCTCCAGAAACATTTTCGCTCTTGCAACACTCATGTGCATTTGCATGTGATGTCTTTATCCCTGAAAGCTCCTCGTCTGTCTCCTGCCTGCCCAGTCCGACCAGTCGTTTCACGCCAACTGACGTCGCTGATTCATTGTTGCTTGTCTTGCATGTCACTTATTAGCTATCTGGGCGATCTATCCTAAGAGCTCTGCTGCACTATACCAGACGAGTAACGGCTCCTGATTTGCGATCCCCTGCCACATGAGTTGGAGCACACGCCCCATTCCTTCCATTCGCTCACCTGCAGCACGTGGTCGTTTGACACGGCCCAAAACCGAGAAAAGTGTGGAGCTCGATCTTTGACCTAACACCTCTGAATTCCAACCAATGACACCTCTGTGATTGACACCTTCCAGGCTCCAAGCACCTGGCCTGGCAATGGCGGCCTCCACAAGGTGATTCATTGCAGCCACGGATCTCCTCCAATTCCTCCGGGCAGGCCTGGCTGTTTCGGTGACTTCTTGCTTTGCCAATGGCCTAAACGGCACAAGAGCCAGGCAGCCAACACATGTGTTCACATCAACAAGCACTTCAGCGAAGGCTCATCCACACGAAACTTGGACAAAGGAGGTCGAAAACTTTAGAGTCCTTGGCCACCTGTCAACCAGACAACCAGCCGGCCCCTCTAATTCCACCCAAAGCTGGTGGAACCTCGCCACCATTCATTGGATTGGCCGTGATGTGTCGCCCACGCATGGACTGCCCAACACCACAGCTGCGATCACAGTTGCCTTATGTGGGAAGACTCCGGGCAGCTTCCGGAGATGTCAACACGAAGCTGAGCTTTTGAATGGAAGCTCGTTTGCCGTGATTTGCTGTCAAGCGGTCTTTTGGACCGCGCTTGCTTGACTAAACCCACAATGATTAAGGGTTCATCCCTTTCCTGAGATGAAGTCTGAAGTTGATGAAGTTGACTTACTTATCTTCAAGACGAGAATGTGACCGATAGAACTCACAAAGCACTAACAGGCCATGGTGCTCCATGAGCTCCATTCGGAGATCTGGCAATCAATCACAGCATGGCAAGCTTTGACATCCTGCCAGCACGCAAACCCTGGTTGATCAATCTCTCCAGATGCAGGATTGATGAGTCGTTCGGGTTGTTGGTTTGGGATTCTGAAGAGCCTCCCTGTCAGTGCATAAGATCCCTAAGGTCCAAACTACAAACCCAAACAAACCCAAACCACCAAGTAACCCGGTAGGCTCACTGCTGATGGTCTTTGAACTCCTTAGAGATGTGACCTCGACGAGTTTGCCAGCTATTGAGGATCGTCCTGATCTGGTCACCTCTGCTGGCCCTTGTGGCCTTCAGTTCTATCGTTGCCCCCAATGAAATCACAGGTCATCACTTCTATTCTATTGTAGCTGCTAAAGTGTATAGATACAAGAACGGTTGGATTTTGTCCGGTCTCCTGCATTGAGCCGACGCAGGGGAGGCCATTGCCTTAGAATTTAGAATTGTCTGGAGTACACTCTTTCCTCCCTGTGTGCATGTTTGACTCAATCCAAGTCATTATGCTGCTCTGCATGGCCCAAGCTATGAAAAAACTTTTCACCAATTTATGTGCCATTTTGATGCAGCTGCGTCACCAGTGGCTTGTGTGTAGATCTTGCGGGTGCGGTGGCACATACCTGATAGATCGAACAGGAGCTGGGCTGCAGCTTTGCACAGCAATCTCATGCCCAAAATGAATCGTAGATTTCAAGCTGGGAATCCAACAAACGAAAAGCATCCAAAGCAAACTCCACAGCAGGCAAAGAATCTTACAAGGATTCGTGGGTCTGCCACTGAAAAACACACACGGGATAAGAGTTCGCACACAGGCCGCCAACTGACTAGAAGAAGCTAGGTGACAAACATACGTGAATAAAACACGTAATATGCAAAGCAGATCCTGAAGGGTGCCTATCAACGTGCTAAAAGTGTCCTGATCCCAAAAACATCGAGCGGCACAAACGAAACAAACGAGAACGTGACTGCAGAACTCAAAAGCAGCTTGTTCTAGTTAGAAGGGGCCAACTGGGTAGTGTCAAGTCATCACAAGCAGATACAAGCGGTTGATCAGACCACTCTTCCACCGATGTACCATAGCTTCGATGGACTGGATAGGCAAATCGGCTCCAGCTCCACTTGAAAGGAAAAAGAAGAGTCAAAAGAACAGCCAAAAGGTTGCCTCTGATTCCAAGGATGACACATACATATATTCTACAAATAAACTTTATGCGACTTTCTATCAAAGCTAAGGGCTGCACCTTCCTTGTCGCCCTCTTGCCATTCCGTCCACTCACCCCAGCCGCAGTCCTTCCGTCGATTTATCGACGATGCTTTTGAGAAGTTGTTTCTCTTCGGTCGCACATCACACAAAGCCCCCTGCAGTAGGACCCTATGTCTCAGTAGCGATTACTCCTGCAAATCTATTTTAATTGGGTTCGGCATACCTCTCTTTCAGCATTGGTGCGGCAGAGCTGAAGGCACCCTTTTGCCAGGTTGATATCAATCTGATATCACCGTTAACCATGCACAGACAGAATGCTGTGGCATGGTGTTTGAACTTATTATCAAGCTGTGTAGCTGAACTCTGAGAGAGAGAGAGAGAGTACATGAATTACATAATTCTTCTGTTTGCATGCACATCGCGACACGCCGGTCGCCCGCCTGTGAAACACACTCGTGCATCTTGCAGTCCTGAGCTCGAAAAATATAAAATAGGAGGACACAGGTAAGGTGCCCTTTTAAAAAGACCTGCTATCTGCTGCTTGGGGTGTTCCTGCTGCTATAGGCTGCAGTTGTTGGATGGCTGAGGCAGGTGCAGCTCAGCTTTTGGTCGGGTCCAAAAAGCAAAAACTCTTGAATTGCTGCAAGTGCGGGACCTGGCTTACATCGAAGATACACCAAGGAATAAAGGAATGTGGCGCTTTACCTGCTTTCTTCTACTTGCACAACAGGGGCTCGGGCTTGAGTGTCGCAGGTGCAGTTCTGATGGTAGCAGCAGTTTTGGTTTCATCGGTGTGGTTGGCAATTCTAGAGCTGATCATGGCAGCCCTGAACAAATTTCAGGCGACTCCTGACTGAGGCGCAAATTTTGCTTTCCGAGTTAACAGCCAACACAAAGCACGGCCCTGTGCCGTTCTTCCTGGTTCCGGACAATTTTGTGCAACAACAACAATAACAACCACCACAACCACAACCACAACCACAACCACCACCCACGACCACGACGACGACCACGACGACGACCACGACGACGACCACGACCACCACGACGACGACGACGACGACGACCACAACAACAACAACAACACCACCCCCCACAACCACAACCACTACGACGCCGACGACGACGAGGACCACTCCTACGTCCTACTCCTACTCCTACTCCTACTACTACTCCTGCTGCTACTGCTACTGCTACTACGACTACTACGACTACTACGACTACTACTACTACTACTACTACTACTACTACTACTACTACCCCTGCTGCTACTACTACTACCACCACTACTACTACTACTACTACTACCACTACTACTGCTACTACTACTACTACCACTACTACTACTACTACTACTACTACTACTACTACTAGTACCACCACTACCACTACTACCACTACGACTACTACTCCCTCCTCCTACTCCTAATACTACTCCTCCTACTACTACTACTACTTCTTCTACTTCTACTACTTACTTTTACTACTTCCACTCACACTTCTACTACTGCTACTGCTACTGCTATTGCTACTACCACTACTACTCCTACTACTCCTACTACTACTACTACTACTACTACTACTGCTACTGCTACTGCTACTGCTACTGCTACTGCTAGCGCTACTGCTACTGCTACTGCTACTGCTACTGCTACTGCTACTGCTACT